GATTTTGGACTCAATGCGTTCTCTGGGTTTCCCTGATCCAGAAAATGCCATTACCCATACCGTGCACCCCATGGGCATCCCTTAGAGGAGTGGAACAGCTCGCGAATTTTCAACCCCCTTCGTAAGGGAGCACTTCCACGCATCAGAGGGCGATGAAATTCACTATGTTTGTTCTCGATACGTTAAAGATGAATGCCGAAAAAGTCCCGTTCCGAAAACTGCCCCCGGAGCTGAAAGGGGTGGGGACAAAGTAAGGGGTGGTCCACCCACAGGTGTAGGGGTTGGAACGATGTTTCGTTGCGTGGAACACATGTGATACAGTCCAAGGCATTGGAGTGACACAGTTTTGATATCTTTTCCCCGCGTGGATAGCATTAAAATACGAAAATGTCATTTTTTTTTTTAAACCCACCCGCGAGTTTAGGCCTGTGTACCAGGTGAACGAGTAACCCCACATCAACGCCGTTCGTGGATTCGGACACGCGAATGCTTTATTAATAGGTCCCCAAAAATTCGGATATTTTGAATCACGCTTTCATTGTCAAATCGGAGTAGATTTGAAAGAGTATTAAGTGAGCCGGACGGAGCCGACATGCAGAAGTGGAGCTAGGGCCTGCAGTCGTATGTGGTCAGCACACGTTAAATTGGAGTCAGGTCTGGTCCGGTGACTTAACTCCTTCGTATCAACCCTCGCCAATGCAACTTTGCGCACATTTAGAGGACACTTCAAAACTACTCCTCGCGAAGTTTCCCCAAAATCGGTTGAAAACTCCCATAGATATGACGTTTTAAAAAAGTGTCCCTTTAATTTTGTCCGTCAGTGTATAATAGAATGGATAACTCCTACTTCTATCCCCATTCGGAACTATAAAACTTTTGTCTGAAACATTTTTTGCTAAAACACAATGTTTTCGAGTTATAACGGTGTGTAAGTTAAAATGGGACACCCTATATATGTTGTAATTGTCATAAGGTTGACTTAGGTTATGCACTACATGTATATACATGTATTCATTGTAATGGTGACCAGGTTGAGAATCTAGAAACTTGTTAATGTAACAAATAATACCAAAACGACAAGTAAATATTTCTATTTAAGCTACAGTTATAGATGACAGAATGTAAAGGAACAGATTTTTAACCGACTTCGAAAAGGAGAAGGTTACTCAATTCGACATGATGTGTTTTTTTTTTTGTTTTTTTTTTTTAATATGTCTGTTCATCGATTACACCGATATGACTTGACCAATCGGAATGAATTCTGTTGCATCTTGTAGGGCATGTTCCCCCGGTGATTCTGCTGTCAAGACTTTTGCGATTTGTCATATTTTACCCGTTTTTTTTTTTACCAAAAAACCGTGATTTTTAGGTATGCTTGCCGATTACGTCGAGATGGCTTGATGAATCGGAGTGAAACCTCTTGCATCTTGTCGAATATTTCTTCCAGTTGGTTGCGTAAAAGAAACATTTTATGATTCGTCATTTTTTACCCGTTTTTTTTAAAAACAGAAAAATTTTGTCTTGCTTCTTACTCCGAGGCGGATGGACCAATCAGATTGAAACTTCTTGCATCTGGAAGAGCATTTGCCATTTGGTCCCATAGCAAAACATTTGTCCTTGTCTTATTTTTCATCACTTTATATCACTTTTTATCGCAAAAAGCGTACTATCATACAGTATTTCCATGGAGAGAGTTTATACATTAGCAGTAATCAATATTGCCGCCCCTCCTCTCCAAAAAAGCCCCAAAACTACTGAAACTATATTTCCGTGTACATACTATATACATTAACTATTAATTCCACATAGACAATAAACATGTATACATTGACAGCATTCAATATTGCCGCCTCTAACAAAAGCTAACCCAAACCGGAATTAAACATTTTTTACATCTGCACCGCCTTCGAAAAAGGTGCATTGCATTTAATATGATGTATTTAATAATTTAACCAAATTCATCAAACGATGGTGAATAACAATGCAGTTTAAATAGAAATTATTTCATACTTTTCACTGCATTTTCCCATACTTTTAAGCAATTATATCTAGAGCTAGTGCGTATTTATATAAATTGGCTATAAATTATTTCATACTTTTCACTGTACCTTTTTTGAAGTCGGTTAACCTTTTTTTCCAAAAAATTATTTTATATTTCTACACCTAATACTTACATATATGGCTTTGGAGAAACACTGTATTTTATAACTGTACGAATGCGGTTGCAAACTTGAGACTGCCTTTCTTCTATAGCTGTCATAGCCAATTGCGGGTTACGCACCATTTACAAGTAAATGAACATGAACATGTTTTCTTTTTGAGGTCCTTCAAGTGGTTTTTGAGAGAATAAATATTGCTTGTGATATTTAACAATGGGATCTTACTTGTAAAATAACACAATAAATCAATAAAGAAAGCTTCTATCGTTAAAGTATGCAAGTGTCCAGAAACTTATGGCATGTAGTGTATGTTACATTTGAGACACCGAGCTAGAAGCAGCTTGGTAGCTAACGTGTTAAGAGTTTTCGGTGATTACGTGTGCGCAACTACGAATCCGGAATCCGTGTAATGCGCTCAAACCTCCACATTTACGCTCTAATGAAAACTCAGAGGGTAAAAAAATATAGCGTGAAGTAATCATTACAAGTACACGGAGAGGATTCGTAGACGAAGCATAAGTATGAGTAAGAGGGAAAGTACGAGGGGTCTACGAATTTTTTTAGCTTTAAGGGAAGCGCTTTCAGAGTTTACCTGGAACGGATCAATAGCTGGACCATAGCGATGCGTAAACATCGCCAATGAAACTTGAACTCTGTGAAATATTGAAAATAATTTCTATAATAAACGATGAGTGAGGGATATATAATACAAGCATTTGATAATGTTTTCAGTGTTGAATTCAAGTTATCTTGATATACAGGGAATCCCATAAATATTCGTACCCTCTATGCCTATTGAAGAACTTTGACTAAATTAAATAATAGCTTTGATATTACCAAATGAATTTTTCTTTATAAATATGTATATTAATAAGTTTATACACGTATATATTTATACATATATACACCAATATATTGATACAAACATATACTTGGAAACATGAAACCTACCATTTAATTTAAACAAATTTCTTCAATAGACATACAGAGTACGAATATTTATGAGATTGACTGTATATACTTCATGTCTCTAAAATATTTAAAATAATTTCTACAGTAAACGACGAATGGAGAATACAGGGTGTTCCCGGATTAAATGGTCAAACTTAAAAGATGAATTTAGGACCCCAAAAGAAACAAAAATTTCCTCTAGAAATATGCTCGCAAACGTGTCGTTCAAGAGCTATTGACTTCTGGACTTACAGAATTATAAGAATGAATGATGTCGAAACGTCCCTTTCCTTGTTTTGAAGATCATTGATACGCTTTTGTTTGTAAACAAAAGCATGTCAAAAAAAATTACTGAAAAGTAGTTATTATTATTATTATTATTATTATTATTATTATTATTATTATTATTATTATTATTATTATTATTATTA